GCGATCGGCCCGACCCCATTAGGGGGCCACATGCGAACCCTACCCCTACCCCCCACGATTTCTGAGGGGGAGGGTGGGGTTCACTTCGCTCGGGAGCTCCCGAATGAAATGAACCCCACCCTCCCCCTAAAAAATCGTGGGGGGCAGGGGTAGGGTTCGCATCCGGCCCCCTACCCATCTGCTCCGACCCCATGCGGGAGCCGCAGACAGAGAGAGAGAGGGGCCGCACGCCGTGGGGCCGCTCGCGGAGGCGCGGCGCGGGGCGCCCCGCGAGGCGCGCGGCGCCTTTGGCAGGGCGCTGGCAGGCGGCGGCAGGACGGAAGGAGGCCGTCTCGTCGACCTGTGCGCACGGCCGAGCATCGAGGGATCGAGGGACACCAGGCGCGTGAGAACACCAGGCGCGTGAGGGATCGAGGGATCGAGGGATCGAGGGATCGAGGGGATCGAGGGATCGAGGGATCGAGGGATCGAGGGATCGAGGGCACGGAGGATCGAGGGATCGAGGGATCGAGGGATCCGGCCCCTCTGAGGGACACCAGGCGCGTGAGAAAGTGCTTCCTCCCCAGAGTCCACGCCCACCGGGCCCGAGATGGCAGGCTTGGGGGGGGGGGGGCGCCTCTCCGAAAACGTCACGGGCTTCCCAAAAAGAGAGCACAGGTGTGAAGTGGCAATGGTGGGTCGTGGCGCGCCTGTCTCGGAGACGCATCTGATTTGTTGGGGCTCAAAGAAAATACCCACACGGTTTGGTTGCGATTGAGTCTGAACGAGTGCTGGATAGCCAGGTTGCTGGCATTCCGTGAGATTAAATCTTCTTTCTGCAAGCGGAGATGGAGACGAAGATGCACATTCTAGGCCCATGAGGACTCCCACTAGAAGCCGAACTGGAGTCCTTCGAGTAAGAGCCTGATCAGAAGCCATTGAGGTCATAAGAAATATTACCAGGAGCGCGCGAGGCAACCTTAGAACTCCATTGAGGGGAAACCTGAGATGTCTACGCCTCCCCCCAGGGCGGTCCTGCTCCTCCTGGGGCCCACACCTGAGCATCCCCAAGGGGTCGGCGGACTCTGCGCCAGCCTGAAGAATCAATCGAAGGACGTCCAATTCATCGAAACCGCTTCAGGGAGTTTCCCCAACCAGTCGGGGCAGCATTCGATCCATGGCGTCGCCGACGGGCGGCGGCGGCATGGCCTTGCTTGACATTGTCGAAGTTGCCTGCCTCGGGCGCCGCGGTCGCAAGACAGTGGTCTGTGGCCACTCGCGATGGAAACAGAGAGGATAGTCTATGCGAGGATAAGAAGAACAAAGAGGCACATAAACGTATGGAGAGAAACAGGTCGAGGGAGAGAGAGATGCGACAGACGGGGATAGGGAAAGACAGAAGGACACGAGGAAGGGAGTACAAGAGAAACAGAGAGAGAGGGAGAGGGGAATGGATAAGGAGAGGGACATGGGAGAAAGGGAGGAGCAGTGAGAGGGAGAACGAGTGAAAGAGGAAGGGAGCTAGATTCCCAAAACAGTGCTTGCACTTAGGGCCTCTTACTCCTTACTCGGGAACTGGGCTGGTGTGTCGGTCTGCCGGTTAGGCAGCCGCCGTCGCCGCCCCGTCGCCGCCTCGTCGCCGCCCGTCGTCTGGGTCTGTGTGTCGGTCTGGCAGCTATGTAGCCGACATCGCCGCCTCGTCGCCGCACGTCGTCTGGGCCTGTGTGCCTAGATTGCACGCACCATCAAGATTGCACCGCTTAGATTCTCTTTTCTGGAAAGAGAATAGACTCTACCCCCCCCCCTGGCGTTATCCGCCCCCGTTTCAGGTATGTAAATCATATACGATTATGACCACAAGTCCATCCTAAATATGAATTTACACTACGGGATCGGCACCCCTGAGGTTCCCTTGTTAAAAACAATACGCGGGGACATTTCTTGCTCTGACATAACATTGTTTCACGAATCCCCCGCAAAAAAGGGACGAAGTGCACACGCGCGCGTCGTCGCGCGCGCATGCCGAAATCCTTCAAAAACCCTCGGTGTCAGAAGGATTTCGCAATCGAGTTCTCAAAAAAAAGGGTTTCGCAACACTGATTTGCTAAATTAGCCTGGCGAAGGACCCAACCATATGCAGTCGTGGGTCCCGCCATTGTGAGTATCTTCTTCGGCGGCACACCTTATGGGGCCACGAAACGTGTGAGGGGGTGTGCCGACATGGGTGAAGGGGACGCATGCGGGCGGCAGCACTGGGGCCTTCGGTGGAGCTCCCTATGGGGCCACAAAACGCGTGAGGGGTGTGCCGAAATGGGTGTAGGGGACGCATGCGGGCGGCAGCCCTGGGGCCTTCGGTGGAGCTCCCTATGGGGCCACGAAGCGTGCGAGGGGTGTGCCGAAATTGATGTACGGGACGCATGCGGGCGGCAGCACTGGGGCCTTCGGTGGAGCTCCCTATGGGGCCATGAAACGTGTGAGGGGGTGTGCCGTACGGGTGCATGCGGGCGGGAAATGGGGCCACGAAACGTGTGAGGGGTGTACGGGACGCATGCGGGCGGCAGCACTGGGGCCTTCGGTGGAGCTCCCTATGGAGCCACGAAACGTGTGAGGGGTGTGCCGAAATGGGTGTAGGGGACGCATGCGGGCGGCAGCACTGGGGCCTTCGGTGGAGCTCCCTATGGGGCCACGAACGTGTGAGGGGTGTGCCGAAATGAGTGTAGGGGACGCATGCGGGCGGCGCACTGGGGCCTTCGGTGGAGCTCCCTATGGGGCCAGAAACGTGTGAGGGGTGTGCCGAAATGGGTGGGGACGCATGCGGGCGGGCACTGGGGCCTTCGGTGGAGCTCCCTATGAGGCCACGAAACGTGTGAGGGGTGTGCCGAAATGTGTGTAGGGGACGCATGCGGGCGGCAGCACTGGGGCCTTCGGTGGAGCTCCCTATGGAGCCACGAAACGTGTGAGGGGTGTGCCGAAATGGGCGTAGGGGACGCATGCGGGCGGCAGCCCTGGGGCCTTCGGTGGAGCTCCCTATGGGGCCACGAAACGTGTGAGGGGGTGTGCCGAAATGGGTGTGCGGGACGCATGCGGCGCAGCACTGGGCCTTCGGTGGAGCTCCCTATGGGGCCACGAAACGTGTGAGGGGTGTGCCGAAATGGGTGTAGGGGACGCATGCGGGCGGCAGCCTGGGGCCTTCGGTGGAGCTCCCTATGGGGCCACGAAACGTGTGAGGGGTGTGCCGAAATGGGTGTAGGGGACGCATGCGGGCGGCAGCACTGGGGCCTTCGGTGGAGCTCCCTATGGGGCCACGAAACGTGTGAGGGGTGTGCCGAAGTGGGTGACGATGATGATGATGATGATGATGATGATGATGATGATGATGATGATGATGATGATGATGATGATGATGATGATGATGATGATGATGATGACGATGATGATGATGACGATGATGATGATGATGATGATGGGAGGGGGGAGGAGGCGGAGGAGGAGGGAGGAGGAAGGAGAGGAACGCGGGGCACCGTCTCTTCAAAACGTGGACCCAACACCACAGGATGGTTAGGAAAAAGCTTACGCGCGAACTCTTGCGAAAACTTAAAACAGAACCATCGGTGTTTCAAGATTTTCACAAAATGCTACCAAACGGGCTTCGCGCGCGCGCATGCCGAAATCTGTCGAACGCCCTTGCGCGTGCGCAGTCGCGAGAATCCTCTTCAAAAAATGTGACGACGTGCAGCCACGCGCGTCGTCGCGCGCGTATGCCGAAATCCTTCAAAACCCATCGGTTTCGGAAGGATTTCAAAATCGTGTCCAAAAAACCTACAAAAACACAAGGTTTCGCAACACGGATTTTCAACAAAAGCGTGCGCGCGCGCTCTTGCGTCGTCGTCGTCGTCGTCGCCGCCGTCCTCCCTCCTCCCGCGTCGTCGTCGTCGTCGTCGCCTACGTCGTCCTGCCTTTCCTCGTGTTCGTCGTCGTCGTCCTCTTTGGCGTCGTGGTCGTTTCCGTCGTCGTTGCCGCCGTGGTCGTCCTTCCTCCTCCTCCCTCGTCGTCGTCGTCCGTCGTCGGCGTCTCGTCGTCGTCCTTCCTATTTCGTCGCCGTCGTCATCGTCGTCGTTGTCGTCGTCTTCCCTCCTCCCCCATCGTTGTCGTCGTCGGCGTCGCCGTCCTTCCTGGTTCTTCGTCGTTCGCGTCGTCGCCGTCCTCCCTCCTCCCTCACCGTTGTCGTCGTTGTCGTCGTTGTCGCCGTCGTCGTGCTCTCTCCTCCCTCGTCGTCGTCTTCGCTGGCGACGTCGTCGTCGTCTTCGTCGTCGTCGTCGGCGTCGGCGTCGTCGTCGTCTTCTTCGTCGTCGACGTCGGCGTCGTCGTCGTCGCCGCCGTCGTCGTCGTCGTCGTCGGCGTCGTTGACGTCGTCGTCGTCGGTGTCGTCGTTGTCATCGTCGTCGTCGTCGGCGTCGGCGTCGTCGTGGTCGGTGTCGTCGTCGTCGTCGTTGTCGGCGCCGTCGAAGTCGTTGGAGACGTCGTCGGTGTCGTCGTAGTCGTTGTCGGTGGCGTCGTCGTCGTCGTTGTCGCTGTCGTCGTCGGCGTCGCTGTCGTTGCCAAGTGCCATTTGGTACCCACCGTCACGGTCTTAAGAGATTGTGCAAGCCAAGTTGCGGGTGGGTGGGTGGGATGTTTGCGCGAGCAGTGGAGGTGGTCAAGCGCGGTGCAAGGTAGTCAATTGCACCACATAGCTTGCACTACATATAATATCCGTCCGTAAACAATAACAATATCCACCCCCCTGGAATTAACCGTTCCCCGCCGTATTGCAAGGTATATCTGATTTTGTCTATGAACTCGTACCATCCAGACAGGCCGGTACCGGCACCCTCTTATCCTCTGCGGAAACATTGCGCGCACACTCGCGTTTCGAAAACCCGCAGTTTTTGTTTTAGAACCCCTCTTCCAAAAAAAACCGCAATGCGCACGCGCGCGTCGTCGCGCGCGCATGTCGAAATCATTGAAAAGCCGTAGGTGTCGTAAAGATTTCAAAATCATGTGTCCAGAAAACGTATCAAAATCAACTGGCTTCGCAACAAGAACTTTCGAACAACATTTCGCCCGGGCGCTTGCGAATTTCTCTTGGAAAACAATCAGCTTTCTAAATTTTCAAAACATGCCAAACGGACCTCTCCCGTGCATGTCGGAATCGCTGGAACGCCCTTGCACGCGTATTGTCGCAAGAACCCCTTGCAAAACCGGACCGAAATGCACACGCGCGCGTCGTCGCGCGAGCATGCCGAAATCTTTCCAAAAGCCGGGGTTCCGCCAGGATTCCAAAATCAAGCGCCCCGAAAACATATTAAACACATGGTTTTG